AGGAGGAGGAGGAGAAGAAGAGGGAGAAGAAGGGGGAGAAGAAGGGGAGAAGAAGGAGAAGAAGGAGAAGGAGAAGGAGAAGAAGGAGAAGGAGAAGAAGGAGAAGAAGGAGAAAGGAGGAGGAGGAAGAAGAAAACTAAGAAGAGAAGGAGAGAGGTAAATGATTATTTTATGACTCTCAGAACTGAGTCAAGCCTGAAACCTTTACTTTGATCTCCAGAGCCTACATGATGGAAGGATAGAACTGACTCATGAACATTTTCTTCTGACTTCTACATGTGTAGCATGGCACGTGCTCACAGGTGCATGCAAAAAATAAATAAATAAGTAAATAAAGGTTATTAAAAGGATCTTGGGAGTATGGGCCCAGGCCTTTGGAGACTGCCTGAGAAAGCCTGATTTGGCCTCCAGGGTGAGTTTCCTAAATCATGCCAATGCCTAACCCCCTGCTTTGGGACCACCCGACGTTACCCTCACTTACCCTGGGTCTAGGTTCCCCTGATGATTAGTAGGAACAAGCACATCCACATCCCTTCTCCTTGGACCTTGGCACTATCCATCTGAAGCTTCTGAAGTACTCCTAAATAGTGAAACCCTCTTCACCCTCCTGGGTAGACTTAACGGAGTCATCTGACCCTGCCAATAAAAAAATAAAAAGAGAGACCCTGAAGCCTAAATCAACCAGCTTTTCATTCCCAATCAGGAAAGCAATCAAGGTACATCAATAATACAAATAGACTTCAACTCAACAAATCAAGGCATGAGTTTCATACAGAATCACAAGCAATAAAAGAGATCTACGTGACAAAACCACAATAAAAAAGTAAATGAAAAGCCAAAATAATATGCTACCAACAAATACCATCAGTCTACAGAAGAATTCTACAATGAGAACCCCCTAGAGATAACTCAGGACACAGAATTTAAAAGAACAATCATAAAAATGATCAAAGAATTCAACCGATTTAAAGAACATACAAACAACCAACTCAAAGGACTAAAAGAAGGTAGGAATAAACTGACTGAATTCTCAAAAGAGATAGAAATATTGAAGAAAACTCAGACTGAAATGAAGAAGGAAGTGAAAAACGCAAGCTAATTTGAAATGGCAGGAGAAAGTCTCATGAACAGAATTAATGAAATAGAAAACAGACTATCAGGATTGGATGATAAAGTTGAAAAATCGGACCACTCAAGCAAAGAACATGAAAAATTAAAAAAAAACAGGTTAGAATATGGAAATATGGGACACCATGAAAAGACCAAATGTATTCATTACAGGCATAGAAGAAGGACAAAAATCTCAGGTAAATGGTACTGACCAGATCTTCAACAGGATTATAGAAGAAAATTTCACAAAATTAAGGAAAGACATACCTACACAAACATATGAAGCCCATGGAACACCAAATAGACAGGACCAGAAAAGGAACTCGCCATGGC